GTACACAGAGGTTGTGAATGCAATGTGCCAAATAAGTGAACGGCTGGTCCATACTTCTTTAAACTTAGATTTAATTTGCAAATGGTAAGGTCAGCCTTAAGTGTGTCTGTATTTTTACAGATATTCTATGCTTGTGTAACCACTAAGCAGCTCAAGATACAGAACATCTTTAGCCCCCGAGGGGCCTCTTGTATTATCTCCCAGTTGATATCCCATCTCCTAGAGGTAAGTTTTCTGACTCCTGTCACATACATTAGTTTGCTTGTTCTTGAGTTTTATATAAATGTAATCTGTAGTTTGTACTTTTGCATTTATCATCTTTTCTCTATGTTGTGTATTTCAGTAGTTTATTTTTTTTTGTAATTGTGTCACATTGCATTGTGTGAATACACCACAATTTATTTATCCATTTATCTTTTCTTTGTTTTTGAGACAGCCAGAGAGAGAGAGAGAGAGAGAGCCAGAGAGAGCAAGTACAAGATGGGAAGGAGCAGAAAGAGAGGGAGAGAGAGAGAGAGAGGATCCCAGGCAGATTCCTTGCTGTCAGCACAGAGCTCAACATGGGGCTCACAAAGTGTGAAATCATGACCTGAGCCAAAATCAAGAGTCAGATGCTTAACCAATTGAGCCACCCAGGTGCCCCCAACCTCCAATACCTTTTGATGGATGATGTTTAGAGTATTGCCAATTCTTAGCTATTAGGAATAAAGCTGCTATAAACATTCTTGGACAAATTTATATAGAGTTGCACACTCTCTATGCACACTGGGAGGATATATTTAGAAGTGGAATGACTGCACTATAAGGTACATGTTTGTTTAGCTTCTTTTCCTTTTTTCCTCTTGTATATCATGGAAATAATCCTTTATCAGATATATCATACATATATACTACAAACATATTCTTCCAGTTTGTAATTTGCCTATTCATTTTCCTGATGTGTTTTGATAAGAGAAGTTCTCACTTAAATGAAGTCAAAGTTATCAACTTTGTTTTTTAAAGTGAGCACTTTTTCTGTCATGTTTAAGGAATCTTTAGCTACCCCCAAATTTGTAAAGCTACTCTCCTTTGTTTTCTTCTAGAGACTTAGTGTTTAGCTTTTACATTAAGTTCCATGATCCACTTGAATTGATTTTTGGGTTTGGTGTGAGGTCGAGATTTATTGTTTTTTTCTGTATGAATCTGTAACTTTTGAAGCATCATCTAATGAAAAAGACTATTGTTTCCCTGACGAATCGCAGCGATGCTTTTGTTATAAACCAAACGAGTCTGTCTGTAGATGTGCATTTATAGACTCTGTTTGTTGCATTTATAGACACGATTTGCCTATCCTTGCACCAAAACACCACTGTCTGAATTGTGCACGTCCTGAATTCTGATAGTAAAAGTCTTCCAAGTGTTTCGTCTTCAAGATTGTCTTGGGTGGGGCGCCAGGGTTGCTAAATCGCTTAAGCATATTTGTCTTCTTGAAGTTGTCCCACAGTTTGCTGATACTCTGTCCATTTTGTTTCAGACATTTTCTTTCTGTATTTCATTATGGATTATCTTTGATGGCTATGTCTTCAAGTTCACTGATCTTTCCTCTGCCACTACTCCCCTCTAATATATTTTTCATCTCAGGTATTAGAGTTGTCATTTCTAGAAGTTACTTGGGATCTTTAAAGAAATATCTTCATTGTCACTACTTAACATGCTCAATCATGTTGAACATATGAAATACTAAAGTAATAACTGCTTTAATGTCTTTCGCTACTAATTCTGCTGTCTTTCAGGGGACCCTCTGAGGATCTCTCAGCAGCTCTCTCTATGTGTGTGTGTGTGTGTCCCCTCTCTCAGCACTGTGTCCTGAAAATGTCGTTCAGGCATTCGGCTGGGGTAATAGTTGGGCTTACCTCATTTTTCTCCCATTTCTCAGTGATTCGTTCGTTATATGATGCCTTATTTTGACTTTCTTGTCACATATTTTATTTCTACACGCTGTAAGCTTCATATGATGTTCTTGCTGCTCATTCTAGTTAATAAACTTTTATTTTTATTCTTTAATATACCATCCGTAGAGCTGCTCATTCTTTCCTGTACTTTCCTGTTACATTTAGGATCATTTTTCTTTCATCTGAAGTGCATTCTCAACTTTTCTCCTGACTTTATATGTCTGAGTAATTTTTAAAACTTTGTCTTTATTGTTAAATGATATTTCCTGACTATCATATTCTAGCTTTGTCGTTTTTTATTTCATATCTTTAAAGCTATCACTTCATTGTCTTGTGCTTTCATGTTTTTGTTGTGAAGTCAGTGGTATTTCTTGTCATTGTCTTTTTCTGTGGATGTTTTTAAGATTATCCTTTCATCTTTAGTTTCACTTTTTTGACTACGATGAACATAGAAGTAGTTTCCTTTAGGTAAAGTTTCCGTTTGGGATCACTAATCTTGAATCTATGATTAATATTGTTCATCAGCTTGGTAACTTCTCAGCCATCATTTCTCAAATGACTCTACCTTTCTTATTTTTTCTGCTCTCTATTCATAGAACTTCATTTGTCTCACATTTCTCTTACTCTCTTAGGTTCTTTGTTTTTAATGTTTATTTATTTTTGAAAGACAGAAGGGGAGAGAGAGACAGAGAGAGAGAGAGTATGAGCAAGCGAGGGGCAGAGAGAGGGAGACAGAGCATCTGAAGTGTGCTTGCACTGAGTACAGAGAGCCTAATGCTGGGCTTGAACTCATGAGTCATGAGATCAGGACCTGAGCTGAAGTCAGAAGCTTAACCAAGTGAGCTCCACAGGAACACATTTCTTAGGGTCTTTTTATCCATTTTTCTATCTGCGTTTCAATTTGGGTAATGTTAAGTTCATGAATTGTGGCAGTTGTTTCCAGACTCCTGTAAAATTCTCTGGTGACTTCTTTATGTTTTAGTATACTTGGGAATTATTTATTGAAGCTTGCTTCCTCAGAACTCTGGGGTTGTTCCTTAAAAACTTCCCATTGAGATATATTTTATGTTCAACCGACTAAACCCATTAAAGTGTAGATTTTGATGAGTTTGGACAGAGTTGTATCCTCCTGTGAAACTGCCACCATACTCAAGATACAGAATATCCCTATCACTCCCGAATGATTTCTTTCTCATGCCCCTTTGCATTTTATCTCTCTGTCTTATCCTAGCCCCAGCCAGTCACTGATTTGTTTGAGTAACTCTAAACTAGTTTACTTTTTCTAAAATTTTATATACATGGGTTCCCATAGTATGTACTCTTTGTGTCTGATTTCTGTCAGTTAATAGAATGATTTGGAGGTTCACCCATGTTGTTGCCTGTATCTGTAGTTCATTCTGTCTATGACTGAATAGTGTTACAGTGTATGGATAGGCTACCTATTGTTTATCCCTTTACCATTTGATGGGCACGTGGTCATGTCACACTTTTTCTGCTGTGAATACATCTGCAATGAATATTTATGTATAACACTGTGTGTGAACATGTGTTTTTATTTTTCTTAGCAGAAGTTGTAAGAAACTGCCAGTGTTTCAGAGTTCATTGAATCACTTTACATTCTCTTCTGCAAGATGTCAGTTCCAGTTGCTCCACATCTTTGCTAACACTTGGTGTGCATAGTCTTTTTAAAATTCTAGTCCTTCTGATGTTGTAGGGTTACCTCACTGTGGTTTTAATGCGTGTTTCCCTAGTAACCAGAGATGATAAGACTCTTTTTATCTGCTTACTGGCTATCCGCATATCTGCTTTTGTAAACGTATATTCAAATATTCTGTCCACTTTAAAATTTGAGCTGTCTTATTGAGTTTAGGAAGACTTAGCATATGTATATTCTGATCGGTGTTGGTGAGGATGTGAAGAAAGGGGAACCCTCTTACATTGTTGGTAGGAATGCAAACTGGTGCAGCCACTCTGGAAAACAGTATGGTGTTTCCTCAAAAAGTTACAAATAGAATCACCCTATGATCCAGTAAGTGTCCCACTAGGTATTTCCCCAAAGAATACAAAACTCCTAATTCTAAGGGATACATGCATCCTTGATGTTTATAGTAGCATGATTAACAATAGCCACATTATGGAAAGAGCCCAAATGAGCATCAAATGAGAATGGATAAAGAAGATGTCAGATACACACACTGCACACAATGGAATATTGCTCAGCCGTAAAAAAGAAAACTCTTTGCCATTTGCAGTGACATAGATGGAGCTAAAGGATATTATGCTAAGTGAAATAAGTCAGAGAAAGACAAATGTCATATGCATTCATTCATATGTGGAATTTAAGAAACAGAACGAACAAACATGGGGGGAAAAGAAACAAAAATGAATAAACAGAGTTTCAAGGATAGGGAACAAACCGATGGTTACTAGAGGGGAGGTGGCTGGGGGATATGTTAAGTAGGTAATGGGGATTCAAGAGGGTACTTGCCGTGATGAGCACCAGGGGTTCTATGGAAGTGTTGAATCACTAAATTCTATATCTGAAACTCATATTACACTGTATGCTAACTAACTGGGGTTTAAATAGAAACTGAAGGGGAAAAAGTATATTCTGTATGTCAGTTGCCAGATGTTTGTAATGTGAATATTTTTCCTGTCCTGTGTCTTTCTTTTTCATTTCCTAATGGTTTTTTTTTTTTTGAAGAAAAACTCTCAAATTATATGAAGTCCCATTTATCACCTATTGAGCTTCTATAAGTGTTGCTTTTTTATGTCCTAAGAAATATTTACTTAACCTGAAGATCACACGATTTCTCTCTTGTATTTTATTTTGGAAGCTTAATACCTTTTCCTTCTAGATTTAGTTCTGAAATCCATTTTAAATTAATCTTTGTGTGCTGTGGGAGGTGAGCTGGCTAACCTACTTAACACACATTGTTTAAAGTCATCTACATTTCAGTTCTGTCCAGGATTTGTTTATTGAACTGTGTTCTTCATTTAAAGAATAATATTCCTTTGCAGAATATACGTTTTGTTTTGCCTATGGAGAATGGCATAATATAACGGTGAAATTGGACAAGTAACTGTAAGTTTAGAATTTTTGGAAGCCAAAACATCTTTCTCATTTTCATTTTTCCCATTGCTTCTTTTCACACATGGGAATTGGGGGCACCTGGGTGGCTCAGTCGCTTAAGCGTCTGACTCTTGATTTTGGCTCATGTCATGCCCCACATGGGGCTCTGCACTGAAAGTATGGAGCCTGCATGGGATTCTCTCACTCCCTCTCTGCCTCTCTCCCCCTCTTGCTTGCTCTCTCTCTCTCTCAACATAAATCAATACTTCTTTTTAAAAAAGAACTATGTAATTAGGGCACCTGGGTGTCTCAGTCAGTTACGCGTCTGACTCCTGATTTCTGCTCAAGTCATGATCTCATGGTTCATGGATTCGAGTCCCACATCGGGCTCTGCACTGACAGTGCAGAGCCTGCTGGGTTTCTCTCCTCCTCTCTCTGCCCTTCCCCTACTCGTGCACTTTCTCTCAAAATAAATAAACTTCAGAAATAAAATAAAATATGGGAATTTCTTTTTGTAGTATTTGTTATCATTATTCCTATTTTTATCCATGAACAATGAAGCTCAGAAGTATAATTTTTTTCAGCCATACAAATTATGCTAACATTAGCTGTTAACTCAGGTTTTAATGCCAAATCTGTCATCTTAGCACATGTGAAATAGAAAAAAGTTAAAAAAGGTTTATATAAGAGGGGCAGGTCAGCTGATTAGAGCAAATAAACTTTCTGTTCACAAACAGATACTATTATATATGTGAGTATTCTTACCATATTTAGTATTTATTGAGTCACATCTATTAAGCATGAGAAAGTCCTATTGTCTGACTTTTATCCTGTTGATAGTCCAGGCAGAATGGTGACCGTGTGCTATTACTTGACTTGTTTTTAAATAGTCTGACGGGTTTGCTGTGCTTCTTTCTTGGTTGGTCCTTTCATAGCTTAGGCTCAAAATATTCCCATTTGTCACACAAATTCACCTTTCTTTCAACTGTCTTGGCTCTTTGCCATGTCACCTGTCACAGTTGATAAACAGCTGTCGCTGTCAGTGACGTTAATCATCCTGTGGCCAGCCTTCTCATGGGCAGTGCTCATCTGTTTAATAATTTGGTAGATTTCCTTCATCTCCCTCAGAAATTGTTCTGATTTCAGTTGCCATCTGACATATGGATCCTTTATGCCGTGTAATGAAATAGGGAGAATAGAATACTCTGTGAGTGTTTAGGTCATCATCTGATTCCAAGGCCTTCAGGAAACACATGCATCTTCCAAATAACCCCCAAATCTCTTTGCTTGCATTCAGACAAATCCTATAGTTTTAAGTAATGTTCCTCTTCTCTTACTCCCATTACATTGCCTTCATCCTTCTAACATAATAGGTAACATTCTGTATAATAGAGTTGCAGTACTCAAGCCCTTAATTTATACGATGTCAAATCTAAGTAAAGCTGAAGGAGAATACAATAAAACCTTGGATTGTGGGTAACTCATTCTGCGCGTGTTCCTCAAGATGAGCAAACATTTCTAAGAAATTTTAACTTGATAGGGACACCTAGGTGTCTCAGTGAAGCGTCTGACTTTGGCTCAGGTCATTGATCTTGTGGTTCGTGGGTTCGAGCCCACTGTTGGGCTCTGTGCTGACACCTCAGAACCTGGAGCCTGCTTCGGACTGTGTGTCTCTGCTTCTCTCCCTAAAAATAAATAAACATCAAAAATTAAAAATTGTAACTTGATAAGCAATGTCTTGCCATACAAGTGGCACATGACACGGGATGTCCCATGATCACTACTGAGTCAATGGTTCTTGAAATTCACTTTGATATACAAGCAATCTGGATTACAAGCATGTTTCCAGAATGAATTATACTCACAAACCAAGGTTTTCCTGGAATCTACATTGAAACATTTCAGTTTTAACAACTGGCCCTGTAGCACTTAGGATTTAGTTAGAGAAGTCGAAGCCCTCTGAATGATGAAGAATGTGGATTGTTATGGTCATTAGCCCTTACAGAACCGCAGAGGCTAGTGAAGCAGTCTATGTCTAGTGTTCGGCCTGAAGTCAGCAGGGACACCAATCGGAGAGGAGAGATGGTCATGAAATGGGGAGAGTAAACACAGATTAGGATTGTTAAGGACAAGCTGGAACCCATGAGGACAAACTAGAACCTGGGAAGACAGATTGGGACTTGCATTTGTCTGTCACTGTATCGAACCTTTAGTGATGTATGTGATCTATAGAATAAGGTGGTGCCTATGGCCACACCGTTGAACATTGCACTTAGTGTAGGGTTCAGGAGAGCTAACAGAGGAGATCTGGTGGGAGCCAGAGAGCTGCAGCCAGGCTGTTGGCCCTCGTCTACACGGGGAGCCAGCAGATCAGCGCCTGGCTCTACAATGACTTTTAGAGCATAAAAATGTTTTCTGCTTTACTTCTGCCTTTCAAACCTCACACAAATTTCTCCTTTTACTAACCCTAATATAGAAGCATAGGATCATACAGGGAAGGGTGTCCTGGGAAATGCAGTTCCATCTTAGCTAACTTAATGTGGTAGAAAGCCAAGGAAGTCCACTTCTTCAGAAGCCCTGAAGTAAGGATTGAAGATATGTATCCGGTGTATTTTTAGTCTGTCTCAGTTCCTAAGTACCTGTCATAGTGTAAGCCTCTCAATGTTGAGTGCAGTCTCATTATTTGGTTGAATTTCTCAGACAAGAGTACTTTTTTAATCATAAGCCAATTGCTTCATTACATGATCAGAAGAAAGTGATCTGATCCCATGCTGGAGGAAAGACTGTCTCTCTTAGGTCTATAAACCAAGAGACGCTCTGTGGCTCTCTAACATGGTGCCTTCCTACGAAGGTATTTCTAGAGTAGATTTGCCCATTGATTGTGAATTTTTAAAGTACACTTTGACTTTCCAACGCTTCTTGGTTTTAGATCCTTTTTTTTTTTTCAGTTTATTCATTTAGAGAGGGAGAGAGAGAGCACGCGCGCTTGATCAGGGGAGGGGCAGAGAAAGAGGGAGAGAGAGAGAATCCCAAGCAGGCTCTGCTTCCTACCTTCTTTCTCCCTTCCTCTCTTCTGCTTTCCTTCCTATTCTTCCTCCCGTCCATGCTCCTCTCCTCTCTTGCTTCCTTCCTTCCTTGCTTCCTTCCTACCTCTTCCACTTTCTCTTTATCCCTCCCTCTCCCTCTTTTTGTTTCTTTTTTCTCTTTTCTGCCTCTCTCTTTCTTTCTCTCTTTTCCATTCTTTTCCTTCCTTTCTTTTTTTCTTCCTTTCTTCTCCCTCCCTCCATTCTTGTTTCTGCTGCTTATTTATGCCATAGAAAGTCAGTATGCTGCAGAACACACTTTGGCGAAACTCTTAGTGTGACTTGGTCTTACTAACTCTCAAGTTTCCACAGAGAATCTCAGGGAGGTAGGGTAACTTTCCTAATATTAAGTGAGGAGTAAGGGATGGATACAAGATTCTATTTCTTGGCCTGGGTGGGGTTTACATGTGTGTTCACTTTGGGAAAATTATCAGCAGAGGGGAGGGTATTAGCACAATTCTGCAGGCTGACATTCGTGCAGTGTATAGGAAACAAATTCCAGCTCAATGTCACACCGATCCACAGACTCAAATGTCCATTTCTAGTGTTTTTAAAAGGTTTTCTCAAGTTGGTCCCAGGTGGTTACCAAAACGACCGATTCTCTTCCCTGCCCAAGGTAAGAGGGGAAGGAGAACACAACGTTAAGCTAACAGTAAGTCACTGCCCAGCCTCTCTGTTGGCAGCTTCAGAATCATCTTGGTGACTTGGTCGACCCATTAGAGGAGGCGGGGCCCAGGCCATTGGTTGACCCCTTAGTGACGCAGCAAGCCTTTGTTACGTCCTAGCAACGCACCACGCCCTCCCTGCGGCTGCCCTACCCACCCTCAGTCCCGGTTACTTGTTGTTGTTTTAGCATGTTTTTACTCAGTGGACCCGCGCGCTTGGAGTTTTCCATACTGGTCCAGCGCAGCTCTTGGTGTTCCTGCGGTGGGAGCCACTCGCAGACGGCACAGGGAGGGAAGGGACGGCGTGAGGAAGTGGAGGAGGTTTAGGAGAGGAAAACACAAATCGAGATTTGGTAATGTTTATTTTTAAGATCTATCCTAAGCTCTGAGAAGAGGCTCTTGGAGGTTGGGAAAGTGACTTTTGCGCAAATTCCATAGGAAGGAGGACGAAAGACCCGTGGAGGACTCAGCACCCAGCCAAGTGAACATGAGCATGTTTGAAACCCTCATCCCTGCGGTGCAGGACATGATCAAGCAGGTGCTGCCTGCATTGAAGGGGCTGACCACGGCGGGTAAGCGACGTGGGGCTGAAGCTTCACCTGCTTGTGGGGGGGGGGCTGAAAACCCCCTTGCCCATCCTCTGGAGTGGCCAGGTTATCTTGGCCACAGCTAGTTATCACGGCAGACTCCCACTGCATGCCCATAGAATTTCTTTATTGATTGTGTTAATGAGGGAAAGGGACCAGCTGAGGGTCTGATTAAAGGTGGTGATGTGTGAGCTTGGGGACTAGCACAAAGGAAGTGCTTGTCAACTGTTAGCTAAACACAACCACCCCAAATGGGTCCTTCTCAAACTTCATGCAATGACGTGGATATTTTGTTGCCCCTGATATTTGGGGGGTTGTGTTAAGAAAGTGAGATGATCCTAACAGGAACTGGGTGTTTGCAAGAAGACCTGACAGCTTTTCCTAGAACACTTACCAGACTCGATCAAAAGCACGTTTTCTTAGAAGAGCCACCCTAGAGTGACACTGAGATCTGTCTGGAAGCAATGGGAGCCCTTGGGAAGAAAGGTGCTCCAGAAATGGCAACTTTGCTACTATCAAGTCATTGTAACTTAGGGACATTGCCCATACTTTAACCACATGACTTAGGAGACAAAATAAATACGAGTAGATGCCTCATCTCTTTATCCTGCATCACTCCTATTTTTTCCTGTTCAAATAAGTATAAAATAAGCATTAAATATCACAGTTTTATGGAGTGAAAATGTGTGCCTTATTGACAAACCTCTATGTAATTTATACATTCACGTGATTTTGAGAACCTACTGTGTTAGACACTAGAGAAGTGGTGGTGAGCAAAAACCTTGGCATTTCCATAGTCTAGTGTGGAAGAGATACACAGTAACCAAGTAATCACAGAAATACATAATATTTTCAGTTAGTGATACCGAGGAGGAGGTGCATGGTACACTGGGAACTTTCACTGTGGTTGAGGATGGGAATGTGTGTCAAGATGTGTTGAAGCCAAGAAGACTTGAGCTGAGAGGTGAAGAATGAGTTGCACTTGAATAGGTGAAATGGATCAGTGGAGTTGGCAAGGGAGGGGAGGTGACAGGGTTCTTGACAGAGGGAATAACAAGGGGACATTGATGAGAGGGAGGATGGTGTGACTGAGGAATTGAAAGAAAGTCCCTATGGCTGCTCTGTAAGCACAGAAGACAGAGTCTTCTAAAGGAGGATGGAGAGAAAGGGAAGGGGGTCGGGTGGTCAGAGCTTTGTAAATCCTATCAAGGATTGTGGCCTTCATTTTAAGCCTGATGGAAAGCCATTGAGTGTTTTAGCATGGAGATGAGGGAGGAGCCCTCATGACTTGATCACCTTTGTGTTTTGAAAAGATGGCTCTGGTGGTAAAGTGGGGAATGAATTGGAGGCTCAAGAACACCTATAACAGTAACTGAAGTGAGACTGAATGGGAGCTTGGTCTAAGTTTATAGTGGTAGAAATGGAGAGATGGAGACAGCCTGACAGGCTATTTAGAGCTTGTGGTGGTGCACTGGCCATGGAGGGTGAGAGAGAAAGGAAGTCTCTAGGATGAGAAATGAGTTCCTGGATTGCATAACTGAATAGATGAAGGAGACAGTCATTGAGATTGAATCCCTGGATACAGGGCAAGGTTTAAGGGAAGGAAGATCCTGATGTTGAGCAAGTGAAATGTCTCTGTGAGATATCCAAATAGGCAGTTGGATACACAGGTCCAGAACCTTACAATGGGGAGAAATTCTGGGAGTCTAAAGAAACACGTGGGAGTCATCGGCCTATGGGTGGTCATCAAAGCCCCGGGCACAGACATAAGTGCTTAAGTAGAGCATGGAGTGAAAACTGAAGGCCTGGGGCTCTACCGTTGGAAATGCCAATGTTTAATGGTTGAGTTGAGGAAGATGAGAAGAAATGGCTAGAGAGGTAGGAAGAAAATCCAGGAGAGAATAGTGTCACAAAAGCCAGCCAACAGGAGAGGTGCTTAAAGGGGGAGAGAGTGGTCACCACTGTTAGATATGACTGAGGAGTCAGCAAGCTGAACGCTAAACACATCTATTGAGTTTATTGATGAGATTGTTGGTGACCTCAGCAAGAGATTTATTGGTTGAATGATAGAAATGGAAGTCATTATTAATGTTATTCTTCTTAAAGTCATTATTAAAGTCGTCATTAACTAACAGGTGACTACATCTTAATGTTCACAAATGACCTCTTGTTAAGGAGAATGAAGATAAACTTCCAATTGCAGCAAAACCCATAAATTAACTTTTCATCATCAGATGTCATAAGTCCTGTTGCTTTCATGTGTTTCTCCAAACTTCATATTATGAAGTTATAGTCCTTCGAAGGTCCCGTCATTGTTTTTGGCTGTCATCCAGGTAAAAGTATTGAAGACGACATAGCTAGGCAATCTGCAGAGGCAAGAAGGCTGCAGGTCTTCAGTGCAACAACCTGATCTTTGCACTGAACTATGCTCCTATGCTCCGGGGATAGGTTTCTCTGTTCAAATCCCTCTTGAATATTTTGTTTTGTATATCAATGTTTTGGTTTTAGAGGATGTCTTATGAGGCGCCTGGATTGCTGAGTTGGCTAAGCGTGTGACCCTTGATTTTGTCTCAGGTCATGATCGCCTGGATCATGAGTTTGAGCCCCACAATGGACTCTGTGCTGGCAGCGCAGAGGCTGCTCGTTACTCTCTGCCTCCCTCTCTCTACCCCTCCCTACTCATGCTCTCTCTCTCTCTCAAAAATAAGTATACATTTTTTAAATTGTGTGTATGTGTGTGTGTGTTAAAAGATGTCTTACAAAGTCAGGGAACTTATCTTTTATATTTGGTATTAATATCTATCTCAAGCATATATTATTCTACAATTTGCATAGTGGACACTTCTTTTTAATAATGATTACATGTAAAATGCAGTATTCTTGCACTGTGTTTGAAACCACGGTTTTCAATGCATAATGTCTGATGAGGTTTGGAGTGGACATGTCAACACAGAATTTTTGGTATTACTAAATACTAGCTATACCTAGACCATCCCTTCATATCACATATTTAACCCTAGTTACTGGCATCTACTTGTTTTTCTACCACAGTTTCTTTTTGGAACACAGCTCAGAACAAGAAAAACAGAAAGACTTCTCTGTGATCATTGAAAGTAGATAGTAAAAAGTCTATGCACTATTCAAATTAAGCCCCTTGGGTCCCTAGCCAAAGGTCCTCTGTTAACAATTATTATTTGGGGGCTTCCTGGGTGGCTCAGTTGGTTCAGTGATCAACTCTTGATCTCAGCTCAGGTTATGATCTCACAGTTTGTGAGACCGAGCCCTGTGTCGGGCTCTACGCTGACAGTGTGGAGCCTGCTTGGGATTGTGTCTACCCTCTCTCTCTACCTGTCTCTCTCTCAAAATAATTAAACTTTAAAAATATTATTTTAGACATAATATTAGTATATTTGTGGAAAGCAGAAACAAAGCAGACCTGAAGCAGTAAATTAGGATTAGGCACGGCATCTGCATAGCACTAGCAGTAGAGAGAGGTGACAGCTGGTAGTCTAGCAGTAACAAATGAGAATGAAAAGCAAGTCAAGAATCAAGCAAAAATATGGTGATCATTTAGCAATACATACAACTAACTATCAAACGGTTTTTGTTGTATACCTGACACTAATAGTATGTGCCAAACTGAATGTGAATTTAAAATGTACAATGTGTTAAGTTATGATGATATATGAGCATAAGGCATTTAAAAAGACTACGACTACTACATGCTACTCTCTGTGGATAGTACACAAAGATTCAGTGCGCAAAGCAACGTTGGTCTCTGCTGTTGTGGACTTTATCATCTGGGCAGGGCTGTGGAGAAGGACGATACACACACGCAATCTCTATAAGACCCCCACCCCTGACCCCGGTCCCCAACAAAGAATTAAACAAAGACAGAAGTATAGATACATGTAAAGCAGAGAGTAGCCTTTTATGCCTTAATGGCATGTAGCTTTGTTTTTATGTTATAGAATGGCATCCGAATGAAGGTTTAGGGGCGCCTGGGTTGTGTCTCAGTCGACTGGGCCACCCACTCTTGGTTCCAGGTCAGGCTGTGACTGGTTGTGGAATCAAGCCCTGTGTCAGGCTCTGTGCTGAATGTGGAGCCTGCTGGGGATTCTCTCTCTCTCTCTCTCTCTCTCTCTCTCTCTCTTCCCTCCCTCCCCTCCCCCACTCACATGTGTGCTCTCTCTCCAAATAAATAAATAAATATTTAAAGTAAAATATGTGGCCTGGGTGGCTCAGTCGGTTGAGTGTCTGACCTCGGCTCAGGTCATGATCTCACGGTTCCCTTTCAGGGTTTGAACCCCGTTTCAGCACCTGTGCTGACCTCTCAGAACCTAGAGCCTGCTTACGATGCTCTCTCTCTCTTGTGCATCCTCTCTCTGACACATATATAAACATTAAAAAATTAAAGTAGAAAAGATAAAGTTTTATATTAATCAGAGGGCACAGAGTAGACACTCAATAAATACTTTTTGAATCCATCATTAAGAAAAAAAGACTACGGTTAAAAAAGTGATGGAGATTAAGGAGCACACTTGTGATGAGCCCCAGGTGTTGAATGGAAGTGTTGTTTCACTAAAGTATACACCAGAAAGTACTATTATGCTTTATGTTAACTAACTGGAATTTAAATAAGAACTAAAAAAAAAAGGCTAGATTATACTTCACTAACTCTCTTTATAGGATATAAGGAACTCCTCACACTTCTATAAAGAATAAAAGGAAATTTGAGACAGAGTTCTCTTTATCCTAGAAAGACTTTATTCAAAGTTTATTGTTATCATTATCTTTAAGCATATTTTTGGAATGTAAAAGGTTAAGCTTTAGTTAGTAGAAAAATTCACTTTGGGGAATGACCTTATTCTCTATTAACTGAACATTAATTAGGAATTACTATCCTTTGGTTTGCAGTGCATATTTCCTTATTTATTTATTACTGCTGGATACTATCACATGAGTGCTTATGTAAATTATTTTTTCTTTCCTTTGAATTTCAGAAGTCGGATCTATCTGGGACTCTATATCAGACTATGTGCTACAACAGCTATCCCTACACAAGGCAAGATTTATACTTCACGCTTAACGCAAGAGGCCAAAGGATCTTTCTTCCTTAGTCTTGTATAATTTTGCTGGGAGCAAGAGAGCAGACTTTAGAGCCATCCGATTTCTGTCCTGTGATTTTGTATGCTCACACTTATGACTTACAGATAGCAGATTTTACAAACATGGATTTTAGTCTTAGGTAATGAGTCTGTAAAAGTTTTCTCTAGTGATAGCAAGCAGATCGCTGACCAACCTGTAGAGGCACTAGATGAATTCTGTGGATCTGTGACCTGATAGTTTCTGGCATAGCTATAGAAGGATGTAATGCTTCCTGCCATGCTTCCTTGCAGGGAATGGGTTTTAATTGCAATACAAGATTATCTGGGACTGAATTCCCCTTGCCAAAAATGAGAAACTTTGCCCAGCCGTGAGTTTGGACGCCACGGAACTGGACAGAGATCTGGGGACTTTGGAGGGAGCTGGGAACTTGTGGGACTTTTATATCCTCCTCACAGGTCCCATTATGACAACCCACGGGCTGAATGCATCCTTCGAACTTCTGTTGTTTGGTCTGATGATTTGAAGTAGTCATCCCCAACTAAAATTTGGAGAGTTTGTATAAACTTTTGCAGTTGTTTCTCTCTCTTCTTGAAAAATCAGCAAGCAGATTTAACACCACCAGTTTTCCGTTGCTGTGTGATGCTGCGTGGCTGAGTCAACAAGGGTCTCTTCCTTTGGATGGGGTTCGTACTTTCAAGCCAGTGCACTCTCTGGCTGGCTACCTTCACTCCCTTGCATTCTTTCATAGTGCCGGTAGACATTTGAGTTTGTCACCCTTGAGGTGTGATATTTTTGGGGAGCCCAAAGCCTCGTTTGAGAGCCAAAAGCATTTGCTTCTACCCATCAGCCAAGATCACTACACTGCAGCAGATGCGTTGGATGCTGCATTGTCTGATTTTCAGCGAGAGACAAAACCTAAAAAACGAATGAGAAAAGAGAGATACTTATGGCATTTTAAATTCCCTCTTTCTGAAGGCAAATGATTAAAATTTCTAATTTCCCACAGTATACGACAAGAGGAATCTTAACTATAGACTAAAAGTACCAGTGGCACCCGTATAAGTTTTCTTAGTCCTCAGAGCCTTTGAATGGTAATGGAGGTACAGATCTGATGTTCTGGATCAATATTTTACATTTTATACTTATATGAAAACTGACATCATAATGTAACCTGAGCTCTAAGAGACTGTAAACATCATTCAATACTTAAGGTTTAATTCTTTTTGTATTTTCTTGGATACCAGTACTAAAGGTTATTTTTCCTTACCTCTTCAGTGGATTCTGATTATTGCTCTTTTATTTTCTTCCTTTTTCTTTCAGGGGGTTCAGATTCCAGGCTTTGGAACGTTCACGTTCACGAGACAAAACACGGACATGGGAAACAACAAGTTTCTTCTAATACAGAGGCCTGTGTTTATCATGGCAGAGAAATTAGTACAGCTCCATGGACTAAAGCAGAATAAAATACACACGCCTGGTAAAGCTCTTCAATATTTAATAAGACATTCTCAGAAAGTAACTGGCCTGGGGACGACAATGAAAGGGCAAAGTTTGTTCAGTTGCTGCTGTACCAGTTTCTGACTTAAGCTCACTTTTCACATGGTACCTTTGGATGAGGGAGGCGCCAAGGTAGGAAGTGATAGTCTTCCTGCAGGACATTTTAAACCTCAGTAGCTTAAGAGGCAGTCATGGGAAGACTTGATGTGATGTCAAGGCAAACTTATGTGCCACGTTACAGAGCTATATAGGCTTAATCATTTTTTAGACCCTCAGAAATTAAAAGTGGTTAGAAAGAAAAAGTTAATTAGGGCCTCTGGTCAGAATCACGGTCCATAGTCACTATAAAAAAGATCACAAATGTGTGATCTATCATATATAATGTACATTCTTAAAAGTTAGGAGTGAGAAGGTTAATAATTCCATAAAGACTTAATGAATACCTTCTATACACCTCTCACACCCTAAAATCTTCCTCCTTTGCTTTCTCCCTCCCTCCTTCCCCTTTCCTGCCTTCTGCCTCCCTTCCTTTCTTCCTTCTACAAATACTTATGGAGAGCCAACTATGTGTTAGGTCTTGTTCCAAGCACTTGAGATATAGTGATAAGCAAAAGGGGCATGGTGCCTGATAGAGGATGCTTACTTACCTTCCAGCTTTGGTGTGTGGACTTGGTGACCCCTTCCCTGGTTACTTAGAGACCCTTGGAGATGTCCTTCCCGATTTCTGGACTGTGTTCCTTTTGAGCTTCCTTATCATCCCCTCTTGCATTGCACTCCTGTGTGGATAAAGAGATACAGTCCACCCCCCAATGTCATCGGGTGAAACGTTAAAACTTCCCTTTATGTTCACTTCTCTGATGTTAATTTTCTGAGTAACTTCCCACCACAACATGAAAGACTTGTTGGTACCAAATACCAACAAATTATACTTAGAATTCATTATGCATATGATCTGTATGGTAGATTTGATGGACTTTTCAGTTACTTTGACCTGGAGTTTTATGACAGAAGGCTTCTACTAATTCACCAAAAACCTACCAAATAAAGTGACAAGAAAGCCAACTTTTTTTTTTTTTTTTTTTACAAAAACATCTTGGGTCTCACAGTAGAGTCCAAAAAAGTAGTTTAGACTTATAATACAGTTTTTTTACAAGACTTAAGAAATTTCAAAATGAAATATATCTCAGTCATTGAAATCACAAGAACAATACTGTCTACCATTTATCTTTGGGGCTACGAGTCTTTGTCATTCATTAGGTAGATAATCAATTAAACGTTACACACTGATTCTTACTGATTACCAAGACGTGCTTCTTGCTTTGAATGGCTCAGAATTTATCATGGGAGATAAATATATCAGCAAATATTGCAACCTGATGAAATGCTATGAAAGCAGGATTGATGAGAACTGCGTGAAATGTAGGGGGGCCCAGAGGAGAGCCTGCCTGACGTTGCTCCGGAAGGCTTAGGGAGAAGACATATACCAGGAGGTCTTAAAGGACGATTGGGCTTTGATGGCAGAGAAGCTGTGGGAGATATTTCAACAACAGTGAGAATAATTCAGGAATAAAGAGCCAAGCCTGTTAAGGGAGTAACAGGTACTTTGTGTGGCCAAGACATACGAGTGTGAAGGTGAGTGGAGGGAAGTAAGACAAAAATGGTTGGTAGCAATTAAATTGTAAGGGTCTGTAGGCAGTATGATAAGGACTTTGGGATTCAGCCTATAGACAGTGGGAACCACGGAAAGGTTTTGAGCAGGGAGCTGTATGTACTGGTCCCGTTTTTAATTTAGGGGGATAGTTCTTTTAATTGTAGCAGTTTGATGAAGTATGGTGGGAGCCTGACTACAGTGGCAATCAGGAGGAAGATGAAGGAATCTATTTGTGAGACATTTCATGTGGATTACTGATGGGATTTGGCTGCCAGTTTGAGAGTGGTGGGTAGCAAGAAGAAGGAAGGTATGTAGCAGGACTCAGATTTCTTGGAAAATCGGTGTATGTTCTTGTGAGAAACACCATAAAGGAGGGGGGCGGTGAGGCAGGTAGGGTGGCAGATAAAATAATGAGTTAGCTTTTGGACATGTTAAATTTTAAATTCGTGTCGGGTTATGTAGGTGGAGGGAATTCTAGTGCTCAGGTGAGGGGTGGAGACAAGAGATCGAGATTTGATCAATTTACCTAGGAGAGGAAATAAAGTAAGAGAAGGGGACAGACACGGACAAAGTCTTGTTTAAGAACAACAACAGACAGCACAACAACAAAACACCATCTTAGGAGAAGTAGAAGATAAAGGAAGTCAGCAAAGGAGACAAAGAAGGAGGAAATTGGAGAACCAAGAGTGGTGCCATGGATACAAGAGTGTAGAGAGGGCATGGTCACCGGAGGCTACAGAGAGGCCATGAGATTAAGACTTCTGGTGTATCCATTGGCTTGTCGACTATGAGACGATAGTGTCCTTACTGGGGTAAGTGGATTGGAAGACAGATTGAAGAGAGGCATTGGATGCAGGGGACGGGACAATCGAGAAGCAGGCAATAGCGCATTTTCTTTCAAGAACTCTATAAAAACTAAAATGGAGGGCCGTGGTATAGAATCACCATTAAATTGTACAGAAGACTGTGGGCTGATCTAGGGAAGCTTGTGTTTTGCAGAGATATGAATCTTTATCGTCCGGCACTATTGGGCACTTGGAAAGCTATAAAACAATGCTTGCTGAATGAATGGTTACAATGCTCTTATCTTCTTTCGATTCTGTTCCTCTATGAGTGGATCTCATTGCTGCCTCTTTTTGGATTGATCATCTGTGTTGTTTATCCCTTTTTTGACTGGTGGTCTGTTATTGTGAAATAGACCCTATGTTTATTTCCATGCTAGATATACCATATTCCTTTGCAATGTCACTTATGGACTCATTAGGGTCCATAGGGAAAAGCACGTTATCCCGTCTGATACCCTCTGATAGGATACTTTCATTCGAAGGTAATGTCTACTGAGGATGACTGTCTTTCCAAAACACTTGACATTTATAGATATTTAGAAGCATTTAAAACTGATGTAATAACTGGAGGAGATAAGCAAGTGTTTTGCTACCGTATGTGCTGAGAGATAAGAGGGATGAAAAATTCTGAAAAGCCTCTGATGAAGAAATGCAGTCAGTGATTATTACCTTGCCTCCAAGAGAAAATCAAAAGCTCGTCTGGAGTTTATTTGGAGCAAAAAATACACTTTTAAGGAAAACTCTACTGATTACTGTGTATTGTTAGGGCTCAGCTAAGGGCTTCAGAGGGACAATTCTATCTTAGAGTACTGATCAGATAGTTCTTTGTGAGTGTGTATGACATGACTTTGTTGTAACTTCCACCTACTTTCCGCCACCCTGTCTTTCTCCTCTAGGTGATATCCCAGTTGTTCCACTGAATTTTGCCATGGTATCTCTGGACACTCCATTTAGCAGGGATCTATTGGAAAGTTGTGTGAAGGAGACACTGCGTATTTGGTCACAATCCATCTATACCAAAAAAAGTGTGGACTTTCTTTTCAAAGGCATCGGGATCCTTACGATTAAAAGTGGCAAAGTGAAGATGAAATTTCTTAAGGACTTCATTTCTACACTGGATGAGACTGGGGCTCTGGACAAAGCCCTCACAAATGTAAATTAATGTTTTCCTTCTCCAAACCCCTCTTCCCAATCCAAGTTTTGAATTAGCTATGTCTCATTATTAGGAAAAATTCAGGTTGACGATATTATTGATTAGTTTTTAAAATGTTTATTTATTTGGAGAGAAAGCATGGGCGCACAAGTTAGAGGGGCAGAGAGAGATAGGGTGAGAGAGAATGCCAAGTAGGCTCCGCACTGTCAGCTTACAGCCTGATGTGGGGCTCAATCTCATGAACCGTGAGATCATGACCTCAGTTGAAATCAAGAGTCAGACACTTAACCGACTGAGCCACGCAGGCGTCCCAGGTTGATGTATTTCAAATGGCACTTACCCCAAGTGCAAAAAATGCTTGCTTATAGATGATTAACTCTTTAACAAAAAGGTTAGAAAGGCAAGGAAACTTGACATTCTGAGTCAATGCCAACTGAAAAACGCAAATCATAACAGAAGCTCTCACAATTCTGAATACTTTATAGTACTTTAGAGTGTTGAAAACTTCTTCCATTTCTTTTATTTCTTTTGAGTTTGAAAACATTCTAAAAGTGGCATTTTTATCATCCTGATTTTACAAATGAGAAAATTGGAGGCTCAGAGGGTTTATGTGGGAAGCCTGAAATAAGACTGCTAATAAGTAGTAGAACCAGACTTCCTAATGATTCTTTTTTCTTCCTTGCTTGCTTGCTTCCTTGCTTTCATTCATTCTTTCTTTCTTTCTTTCTTTTTTGGGGGGGAAGGGGGCTGGTTATAACAGTTATTTATTTATTTACTTGACTGTTTACTTAACTTAGAGAGAGAGTGTGTGGGCACAAACAGCGGAGGGGCAGATACCAGGAGAGAGAGAATCCCAAGCAGGTTCCGTGGTCAGCGTGGAGCTGGGAGTGGGGCTTGATGTCACAAACAGTGAGCTGAGATCAAGAGTTAGATGCTGACCTGAGCCACCTAGGTGTCCTCATGGTATTTTATTTTCATGATAGCCTACAATAAATTGTGTCATGGAAATGTATCTTTAGCTTTTAATTTGCCATATCGTGGAAGAAATTTCACAGTTAACCCCATCATTATGAACTGTTGAATGGCTGGTATGACCTTCATGGTACGTTGGGCATAGCAGAGTTTAAGGAGGTAGTGAAACAATCAATCAACAGGACTAACGGAATGCTTAGTGTGCCTCAGGGGCACCTCTGGGAATGAACAGAATTGGCACAAATGACTTATATTCTCACCCAATGTTATCAAATCCTGGGTGCCATTGAGCAAAAGCCTGATTCCAAGGGAAAAGGCTGTCAAATGAAAGTCCATAAATAGGGTCCAATTCTACTCCCTAATTTCTTCTTTCATGGAGCTCTGTGGCGGTAGATTTAAGAGTTGTGCATAATGAAGCCCTTGGTATTTTCTCCACAATCTGGCTTCATGGAGGATTTTAAAGATAGGCACTCACCCTGTGTATGCAAAGTTGAAACACACAGCTATCACCCTCCCTTTCCCATGAAAACACAGCAGAAGCAAGGCCCAAGTGCTGGTCCATCTCTAATCTTCAGGGATTCTCCAGAACTTGGTAGCTTTAATACTGTGTTTGTACGAGAGGACAGCATTTTAATTGGACGGCTGCACTGTGAGACAAAACGTTGAAGGAACATTTTCCAGAAGTGGTAGTCCCGAGACATATTCTATGAAGAAAGGATCTGGAGGCCAATGCAGATGGCGGGCTGCTGCATATATCAGCCTCCCGGATAGAAGCACAAAGCACATTGGCATGGTAAAGGATCGGAGAAGTCTGGCTAGAAAGAAGCCACCTTAACTGCCTCAACTGTGAATCATGGAACGCTAGGTTAATCCAAGGCTTGTTAACATCCAAACGCCATTTTGGGAAACTGCTGTAAAGTGGTGAGGGTGATTGTCTTTCCCCCAAATGTCCCATAACTTTACCCTGAGTGCTCTCCTGCAGAATAGTTGTCTTGGGAAGCTGTTGGCTCATTTCAATGATGCAGCTTTTGCTGGAGCCATATTTAAAACTTCTTTTTGGAGATTGCCATCAAAGCCTTTTGTAAGCCATATCATTCATCCAAAAATAATTTTGTGTATTATTCTCTACGAGTATAATGAAATTATGTCATTACTGTATAATGTAATAATAATTATTATAGCTGCTGTTTGTTGAGTGTTTCTTCTGTTGCAGCCACTTACATGCAGTAACTCATAAACATGCTATGAATTAGATACGGTTGTTATCCCCACATACTCAGGCTCTAAGGCTACATAACTTAACAGTGTGGGGATGTGAACGTGAATGCACGTGAATTCAAAGCCCGTCTCTTAGGCACCCAATTTTAGAGTTATTTGGGTCAAGAGCGGAATTGGCCTGCTTGCTCATTTTCCGGATAGATTCAGCAGGTCAGCTCTCCTCTTAAGATGTGTAAAAGAAGCCATCAACTCTGTACATAATTTTCAAAGAGGAAATGGTTTGAGAAAAGGCAGCATCAGTGGAATTGCAATGGGACTACCCAGGGTGATCGATGAGAGAAATCCTCTTTGGATTTTAAGCTCTAGCCTTTAAGCACTAAAATAATAGTAATAATAACGAAAGAGAACATCATGGTTGCCTTGCCTCTGAGACTGCCTATAGCTTTGATTTGTCTGTGTCCTAGACCACTGCCCCAGGGATAAGCTTTCTCTGTCTCTGTCCTCCAGAGGCCTGACACAGGGGACTCCATGTTGTCCAGCAGCGAGACCTCGAGGAAGCCTCCCAGTAGTGCGTTTGTATTTCCAAGGTCAGTGTTTTGCTCCATAGGTTCCTCCAGGCACAGCTATCCTTGTTGGTGTATTAATGTGACTGGGTGGTTTCTCATCGTGTTGGCTCCTGCTCCTTTCAGTGTACTCTCCTTCTCTTTCAGGGCTCCAGCAAAGAATTTGTTGCAAACACTTTCTGTAGTTCAGTTAGAAAACACTGGACAGTTAGACTATTCCTTTTTAAAGATAATTCAACAACACTATACATTACTTGGTGCTTATCATGATAAATATACTCTTAATCCCCCTTATTTCACTCCTCCCCCGCCCCACCACCACCACTCTGGAAACCACCAGGTTGTTCTCTGTATTTAAGAATCTGCTTTTATGTTTCTCTCTTCTTCTTTTTTTTTAAATTTGCTTTGTTCCTTAAGTTCCACATATGAGTGAAATGATGTAGTGTTTGTCTTTGTCTGTCTGGCTTCTTTAATTTAGCATTATACCCTTTACGTCCTTTTAGACTTTTTGTTGTTTTTTTGTTTGTTTTGTTTTTTATTTTCAAATAGTTTATTGTCAAGATGGTCTCCATATAATAGACTCTTCGTTGTTAAAACTACTCTCAGTTCCCTAGAAATTCTGATATTACCTCCCATCAATTTTAGTCCCTGCAATATGAGTGCAGTTCTTCTCATCTTCTGGGCTTTCCTCTACCTTCCACCACTTCCTCTGAACTAGCTTCGTCTTTCTGCAGTCTAGCCCACCTCCTGTCTGAGCTCTGAGTCTTACCAGTGAAATGGTTGGAGAGATAAGGTAGAATAAAGGAACAGCTTTATCCCAAGAGTGCAGTGGGTCTTACTGGTGGCTGCTGACAATGATCGGAATCATGATCCTAATAATCATAATATGATAATAGTTGCCATCTATGGAATACTTGCTACTGTACATGTCAGATACTGTTAAGTACTTTCTCAATATGATTGTACTTAATCTTCACTCCAGCTATTTGAGATGTGCGTTTCATTTTATCCATTTTATAGAGGTGCAAAATGAATTGTAATTTTAGTTCATGTTTTTGTTTTAATAAGTGAAACCACGTGGTGCAATATTAAGAACACTGGAATAGGAGTCAGGAGACTTGTGTTTTTTCTCCAGTGTAGCCATCACACACTCATTGTGTGCGCTTAATCATGTTCTTAATCTTAATTGCTGTGCCATTAACGAGGATGCATTTCTGGTGGAGGAAGTTTGGGGCATAACAAGGAGCTTCCCAGAGGACTATTTCCTCATGGTCTTTGAGTCTCCTGTGTTAGTCGGTTTGGAACAACCCCCTCTGGGAAGGACTTTATGACATATACCTCATAAAATCAGAGTGAGGTTCAGAATACACATCAGAGAGGACTTAGTCAAGACCCTTAATTTTGTAGATGAAATGGACAGACGACTGAGTGGCCAAGCAAGAAATAAAACCATAGCTCCTGACCGTTCCACTACTTCTTTCCATTGTACCATGTTGCCTTACTCATTAAAAATAATTCACTGGATTCAAAATAATTTTCTTGTGATTGTATTTTGGAAAGGAAAGTTGGCTGCCCCCATGGACATATTTGGGCTTGAGCATTCCAGGAGGGAAATAATTACAGTGGGTCAAGAACAGAGATGGAGGCTCCTGTGGACTAGAGAGCCTAGAAATGGACATGAGGACTGAAATGCTCAAAATAGTGGTAGACATTTTATTCATGTGAAGTTTGGTCGCTAAATTTACTGGAAGTACCACCCCTCCCTCACTCCCTTCTCTCTTGCTTACAGCTCTAACCCAGCACTCCTTACTTGAGACCCCAGAAAACCTACAAGGACATGCACCAACTGAACACATCCAGTCCCCTATTGTGCCTTTGCAAGTCCCTTGCTTTTACTTGGGGCAAGGATGAAAGAAGGGGGCGAGGAGCAGTTTTTCCTGGGCATATTTCTGTCTCTGCCCACCAGACTGTGAATCCTTGCCTTCAAGCCATCCAATAGCCAGCTTTCACAGTCACTTCTATGCATCTGGGTACAGAACTAGAAAAGACAGATTCAAACGGAGACCAAACCCAAAAGCTCAAATCCCTCCATTTATCTTCATAAGAGCTGCCTTTGAGGCCTCAGTATTGAGAGGGGAGGTCTTGGTTGGCTCCCAGACTCAGTCTCAAAGAGAGCCTCAGCACATCAAAGCACTTGCCCCCTTGACAGAAGTGGGTGTATTTCAGAACCAGAGAGCTAGCTGGGTTGCTTCTCAGGATTGAGAGGTCACACGTTCACCTATTCAGGCCCCGTGCAGTAAACATTGTGGCTTATTTCTAGGATTCTGGTCAAAGACCTGAAGCAAAAACCACCTGTGGAGACCATTGTAGAGGAAGCTGAAAACGGGAACAATGAAGGGGAGCACAAATGCAAAGAGGATTCCGACAAAAAAGGGGTCAGAGGTAGGCCAGTGATTCTGGGTATACTCTGTCACACTTTACTGCTCTTGAGTCCAGCCATCTTGCTTCGTGACTTCTATGCTCAAACTAAATAAAGTTAGAATCACGAATAATTACTGTCTTCTTCTTTCCAACAAATACCTTCTATTCCTGGAATCTTGTTTCTCCTCTTAAGCACTTTATGACTCTAGGCCTCTTTGACTATGATCTCTCTGCTGGATCCTCATTACTTAAAGAGGTAAGGATTCCTATGCCTACGAGGTCCAGTCAGATAATGAAATGCAGAAATGGGCTGCATGTAACATGATAGGGTGACATGTTCTCATAAATATTAATTGTTATGAAAGATGGAGATTGGAAGTTTTACATCTTTGATACTTGGCTTAAGAGAAGGTAGCTGGATTTTCACATCTGTGTCTTCATGGAGTCTCTCGTGACATGTTGTCCCAGTCGAAGCACAGGAAGGAAACCCTAGGACTTCAAAGACTTTTGGAAAGGTACCTAGGGATCTTTAGGGGTTGCCATACTACCCTTTGGAACTGTCCTCTAGGAGATTGTTGTTTTGTGGGCAACACACTAATTGACATTAAAATGAAGTAAAAATGCTGATGGGACCAAAAAAACCTACCCATGTCAGTGGGTCAACATTGGCTAATGGATATTGTGTTTGCAACACTTGGCCTCCAGGATTACGTGTAAACCGTTAGCCAAATATGCACATGCTATTGTGTCTGTAGCCTCGTCTGTCACTCTTCCCTCCTGTGGACTCCTTCTCTGAGCAAGACTGTCTAGTTATGTCTTCCTAACATATCTTGTCCTTCTCTGATTTCATGCTTTTGTTCATTCTTTGTCTCCTGCCTAGAATGCCCTTCCTTTTCTTACAGTCTATCCCAATCCTACTTACCTCTCAGCGTCCTTTTTACATCCCAATTCCTCCATGAACACTTCTCCCATAACTGCATTCTGAAGTATCTTCTCTCTTCTCTAAACATGGCAGAGCCTTAAAGATGGCACCATCAGTTGGAATGCAGACATTTTTCCTCATTGTCCTGAGTTGCTATTTATGCAATGTATGCAAAGCACTTAGCATTGTAGGCACATACTGAGACCTCAACAATGGGAGAGCTCGTGTTTTTTGTTTATATCTTCTTTTTCTCTACAACTATAGATCTTCCGTAATTTTACGACGGGGTTGTATTGAGATTAACCCTTTAATGAGTTGAAACTATCATAAGTTGACAGTGTGTTTCATACCTCTAACCTACTGAACATTATAGCTAGCCTGTCTTAAATGTGCCATCTAGCCTACATCAGCCTACAGTTGGGCAAAATCATCTAACACGAAGCCTATTGTACACTAAAGCCTTGAATATCTTATGTAACTTATGGACTAACGAAGGTGACAGACAGACTGGTTGCGTGGGTACAGAATGGCTGGAAGCGTATCGCTTGTTTACTCTCCTGACTGTGTGGCTGACTGGCTGCTGCAGCTTGTTGGGCCACCCAGCAGCCCCTAGGGAATGTTGTGTCACATATGGCTAGTCTAGGAAAAGCTCACAATTCGAAATCCAAAGTATAGCTTCGACTGAAGTTTATCGCTTTTCTGCCATCCAAAGCCAATGCCAAAAAATCATACGTCAAACCATTATGAAGCCGGAACTGTGTGTATATCTTTTGAAAGATCTTGAAGGGCAAAGACTTGCCTCTTGCATTTTCTTAAGTGACTAGCCAGTGTTGTGCACGTAATAAAGATACAGCCAAAATATTTGCTTTAATCACGCTAGGGCAAGGGATACTGGTTTACGAAAGGTATCTGATATACCAATTTTCCCGGGTCAAGTAATGAGTTTTAAAAATCAGTAAAAGGACAGAACCACCCATTTGAAAGTTGAAAGGAAACTTGGTGTCATTCATTTTACAGAGATCGTATCCCCCAAGAACCTTCGAGAAAAACATGCTCTCACTCCTCTCAAAATAGCACATATCAACATTCCAAACCTTTCAAAGCAGAATGTGACTGGTGGTACTCCCGTGAAATATGACAGGTAACGTATTTGCATTTTATCTGGTGTATGTTACTAAATATGTTTTGGAGTTCTATCTTGATGCAGCAAGTTTAAAGAAACGATCATTCATTCCTTCTTCTGGTATTCTTGAGTACAGTCTACCTGTTAAGTGATTGGTATAATAGATTCAGTCAGAGCTCACAGTCTAGTGGGAATCCAGACATACACAGAGTGATAAATTATGACTCAGTAGGATTAATGCTATGACAGAGATAGAAACAAACTAGCACAGCAGGAGGGGGAACATCTCAGTCCCTTGTGGATTTGGGAAAACTTCCCTGGTTGTTTTCTGTGTGTTTGGATGTTATGATATGACATAGTTTCATTATTTGGATCAAATGGGACAGCAGTTTTGCTAACCATGGTTGGCATTCAATGAACATTCTTGGGTTGAATGCATGTATTACAATTCATTGTGGCCATATCTTCTAACAATGTTATGTCAAATGGTATCTATTTTATTTTATTTTTTTGCTTGTTTATTTTGGGACAGAGAGAGCAAGCAAAGAAGAGGCAGAGAGAGAATCCCAAGTAAGCTCCACACAGTCGGTGCAAAGTGAGATGTGGGGCTTGAACTGACAAACCATGAGATCAGGGCCTGAGCCAAGATTAAAAGTTAGGTGCTTCACTGATTAAGATTCCAGGCACCCCAGAAGATTTCTATTTTCTTTTTGAGGAACACACTTTTTTTCAGTTTATTTTTTACTTATTTTGGGAGAAAGCTAGAGAGGAAGTGTGGGAGGGGCAGAGAGAGGGAGACAGAATCCCAAGCGGGGCTTGTACTCCTGAGCTGTGAGATCATGACCTGAGCCAAAATCAAGGGTTGGACGCTCAACAGACTGAGCCACTCAGGCACCCCAAGGAGGACACTTGGGGTGTCCTCAATAGGTAACCTATTGAGCCTTGACTAGTCACATTGCACTGTGCTGGCAAATTTGAATTTGTTAATGTGTCACAATGTATCAGCTATCATATGTGTGATGTATGCGTTTTCTGTGGTACTAAAGTCATGTTCAAAATCCTGGGCATGATTTTTGAATATTCTCACGGATATGAAAGATAATTATGAATTAAATGTCTTGCACTTTGGAATTTAGTTCAATCCAACCGACACTGAGCCCCACGGTGTGCTGGGCATTACTCTAGATGCCCAAGATCCAGAGTTATAAGACATATAAAAGACATACAAACTGTCTCTGAGGGAGCGTGAACAAGTAGTAGACATGGTAAAGACAACAACAGAAAGTACAGGAGCTGAAAGGAGGAGGAAGTAAGTAATTGTTAGCGCTTATTAGTAGAGGCTTCCTAGAGACGTTGACCAAAATGGTGGGGATTTTTGGTGACGATGATTGAAGTACTACATGTGTATGACAGAGATTTTGAAAAGAGAGAAAAAGACACAAAACGTCACCCATTACACCTATATTTATAGTTGAAACATATACACACGTTTTAAGTACAAGTGAGATCGTATCAGACGAAGCCTTGTTATACTCAGCAATGAGTGGTAAACATTTCCCCTTGGCCTTGGGTTACCCAGAACATGAACGAATAAGTGAACCTCATTTCATTAATTTAACCTTTTGTTTAACCAGTCTCCTTTTGGATATGTAGATGATTTGTAGTTTTTTAATATTTTAAATAATCCTGTGATAATATAACTACACACAACTCTTGGCACACACCTGAATACTCTATAGGATAAAAACTGTAAAGTAAAATTTTAGAGGTAAGAGATGAGCCCATTTTTCATGCCTTTGGTACAGGCTCCCAATTATTCTCACAAAGGGTATATCAAATTATCTTCCCCGTAGCAGGGATATGAAGGACTGATGTCTTCCCCGTAGTTTTGTTAATACGGGACATCGTGCCCTCCAACGGATTCCATTCTTCCCCAGGGTAAAAGCCAGAGTCTTTGCTGTGGCTTGCAAGATCCTGCCTGGTCTCTGACCTCTCTCCTACTTTCTGTCTGCCATCTCATCTCCCTCTGACCACTCTGAGCACAGGCACACTCCCACCGCAGGCACTTTATACTCATTCACTCTGCCTAGAATGCTTTTGGCATCAGATATCTGATTCTTATTAATCCCCCCTTCTTTCAGGTATTTACTGAAATATCACCTTCTTGGTGCAACTGGTGTGGGCATTCTCTTTATGGTTTAACCCTGCATCCCTCCAGCATTACAACGCATGTATCACCTTCATACCTTGTACTTCTCAAAGAAGTTTATTTATTTTGAGGGAGAGAGAGTGTGTGAGCAGGGGGGAGGCAGAGAGATGGGGAAAGAATCACAAGCAGGCTCCAATGCTCAGCGCAGAGCCCGACATGGGGCTCGACCCAAAAATCCTGTGACCGTAACCTGAGCTGAAATAAAGAGTCGAATGCTCAACTGACTGAACCACCCAATCACATATACTATTGAACTGACTCATTTGATTCTCATCTGGCTCTCGGTTCCAATCAGAAGGTTAACTCCGTAACGACCAGGATTTCTCTTTCTTTCTTTTCCCTGTGTATGTCTTGTTCTTTGCTGCATCTCCCATGCCGAAAACAGTGCATGTAATAAGCACAATACCCTTTGTAGAATGCATTCATTTTATCCCCATTTCACAGAATTGGTAACTGAGATATTTTTCAAGATGACCCAGGTTGCCTAATGCCAGTCAGCCTGTAAGCAAAAAAGCTAAGATTCGAACTCCCATTTACTTGACACAATCCATAGGTTCTTAACCTCAAGGCATAGGGATCCTCTAAGGAAAATCACTAGGATATTTTTCTTTGTCTTCTATTTATGCTTGCTTCTCCAATTATCGTTGCTCATGTCAGACTTTTAAACATTAATTCATGTTGCACTCTTTTTATAGATTTCCACCTTCACATAATGTAAAAGAGAACAATTGGACGAATCCTAAATTTTTTCCAGGCCCTCGTTGCCGGGATCATAATAAGGTAGGACAGGTACAATGTCGTTAAACACACTTCTCTTTCTGTTTCTGACTTATGTTTCACAGTACGAGTTATGGGAATTGCTCTTCAAAAAAAAAAAAAAATGTATGGATGTGGCTCAAATACTCAGGACCCAAAATGGGGCTATGATAAATATTCCTACTAGTCAAAATCCATTAGGGTAACACAAGCAGGGTTGCGAGATGTCTTTCTACTTTTCAGTTGGTACGAATACTCTGCTCTTTTGAGATAAAGAGAGGGCACAAGTGAGCTAGGGCAGAGAGAGAGAGATAGAGAGAGGGAGGGACGGAGGGTGAGCAGGATTCACCCAATGCAGGACTGGAACTTGTGAACCATGAGATCATGATCTGAACCAAAGTCAGACACTTAAGTGACTCAGCCACCCAGGCATCCCTCCCATGAATACTTTTGATCAAATAAGAGTTCAGTAAATCCTCTTGGATATTTGTGCTGCCCACGTTGCAGATCTCATGTTTCTAATGGCCGTCAATACCTTCTTTTATGAGGTATGTTGCTTGACATACTCCGTCTTTGGAAAGCTCGGGCAAAGAATGTGAAGGGAAAAAAGTAAAAGGCAACAAATCAATTTGTTTTCAAACCTGGTATTGTAGGAAATGTGTTATGTTTGCATACAACGAGCACAGCGCCTTTTCCCACTGCGCAAGAGCAACGAGGCAAAGAAGAAGGATGGAGAGGATGTGCATTTCATTCAGCACTATCCAATGTGGAAGGATGAAGAGGATCTGCTGAAAGACCAGGTAGTTCAGCACGTTGACTGAAGAGTGGGACAGTAAGAACCTGAGTGTAAAGTGCCACGTAAAATGCTCCATCACATGTCTGTACTGTAACCTATTTCATCATTTCCTTACTGCTGGACTATAAAACTTGGGTTGTATCCATCCTGGGATGACCAAATAGCTAAATGTTTGCACCTGCCACTGATTTCTCTCTCTCCCCAACCCCCAAGGACTGAGTTTTAAAGGTAGAATTCTTGGATTTATATGGTTTTATTTGTGACTTCTATTAGACTATTATCAAGGCTTTCCCCTTCAAATCCATGGCCTCTCTCAAGTAAGCAAAGAGAGGATGGCACCATCACACTCGCACTGTCCAGATTTCTTTGGTCTCCCATAATTCACCATACTGCTCTTTCCTGCATTTGTGATATTAGGTCACCACTCAGGAAATCTTTCATTGCTTCTTATGATCCCCACAGAGGTGCTGCCCAAAGCCTCAGCACAGGGGGTAAAAAACCCTCCCCAAACCCACTTTTATAAATCTATGAAGCTATCAGAAAGTACCATAGCCTCCCAATGGCAAGGTTCTACCTTGGTTGCATTATTGTAATGTAATAGGATTCCATGTTTAAAGACTGTGTTTTCAATACACAATTTTTTTTTTTCAAAGATGAGCAGTCTGGCTATTAGAGAACAGAGTCAAAAAACGGCTGCCTATCATCTCGGCGTTGCCGAAGCTATGAGGAGCCACAAGACTAAGAAACCTGAATTTAATGTGAGTCTTTTCAAAATTTCTCTTGCTAATACCTGCAAATACTATAAATGAATCACTGATTTTAGTCTTCTGAATTACTACCTTTATTCTTTGTTGCTCTTTGGTATTTTAGAGTAAATGAATTACTTCTCCTTCATTGCAGAATGCTTTCCTGGTAGACAATCGGCCACTCACTGCTGAGATGAAAGCTGTGAAAAAACAAGTGTATTCCCAAAGCCTCCAGGAACACCTGGGTAACAGACGGAAAAAGGAGATAAAAGAAACACAAGAGACACAGCTGGTAGACCGCCTAGAACCAGTGCGGCTCGCGGAAGTGTGAGTCCGGCCCACAAGCTCTCAATATGGGGTCAGAATTTCCATGGGAAGCTTATTTCCACGTGAGATTCAATCGGCGTTGGTCGTTTCATTACCACAACTGTACCCACCTGAGCCAACCAGCCCAGCGGGCAGCCAGTACCACAGCCTAACATTTCATTAGAAAAATGAAACAGTCTGTCATTATGATAGTGATCATTATAGTGATACGAATCGATAATCAGATATAGAGTATCACTTATATTGTTTTGTGATCACTGATGCTGGTAGATGCAGGAAGGGACTTGTCTTGAACAGGCACCATTCCCAGCTATTCCTAGTCAATGCAAGTCAAAGTTGGGATTTTATTGTAAGTAAGGATGTNGGCAAAAACCCCCCCCCCCCCCCCCCCCCCCCCCCCCCCCCCCCAACAGCTCCTTGGTAGACATCGTCTTTCTTCCAGCTCAAACCTGGGCGAATGTTAGTCTCAATTCCAAATATTCAGGAAAGAGAATCTGATTGGTCTTGTTCAGATCATCTGACGCCTGGGATAGGGTCAGAGTTCAAACCTGCCTAAGAAGGGGCTCCCACTTCTACTGAAGTCTGGAGAGAAATAAAAGAGGCTACTCTAGTGTGAGAGACACTCTGAAAACCACTTTTTATGACCAAAAAATTATTGTTCTATAAAATGTGTATGTTCCATTGTACTCGCTTTATAGATCATATGGTTTCCCTGTGGGTGGCATATAACAGAATCAGAAAGCATAACAGGAAAGATCACTTTCCGTAAAAAGGAATATTATGGTGAATCATCTTGTACAAGAATAGACACTTCCTGCTTTCCTATCCAGAATTCTTTGAAGCCCGGGGGTGGAAGGGCGTGGGGATGGAAGGGGGCCTGTGTTAGTGGTAGTGATTTTGGACAAAATGGTCATTCCTCTGCTTACACTCGACCTGTCTGTCCTCTTTCCAACACACTGTCCACTAGCCTATGCATCCAATTACTCCTTTTGTTCTTAAAATTGAAGCTCCTAGAAAGAAGTACCACTTTTTATTTTCCAGGCTCTTACTCCTATTGATACTTATTAAATACAATTTAATGATGTTAATCTGTATTACTGTAAAGAAAATAACAGGCTGTGCCCCTGCCTCCTCTCATTCTTAATTTCCAGACTCGCTGAACAAAAAGCCAAACAGATGAAAGACAAGATGGAAAAGGCTCAGAGTTATAAAAGAGCTTTGGATGCACAGGTAAGGGGCCAATTGTGATTTTTGTAATTATGCAGTGCTACAGTAGCATTCTAAAAATATGTATAAAACCATAATGTTATGAGTAGCCTTGTGTGTCACCCGTCTGGTAGTTTTTGTAGCCCTTGTTCCTTCCTCTAAGGGTCTGATATTTTCCTATGCTACACTGTTATGCATAAGGTTTTTTGCCTGGTAATATTCTGATCTGTATTACGTGTGTCCCTATTTCAGATTAAGAAGCAATCCCCGCAAAAGCCTGTGCCTGAGCCCGATTCTCGTGAGTGTGTCTTTGGTAAGGACGAGAGAGCCATGACAGTGGAAATGCGTAGGCGAGAACGAGGTTGTATGAAACACCAGATACCGGCTGCTGCAAACAACAAAAGAAGAATCATTGTGGACCACGTGGTGGACCAGAGGCAGGATTTGCAGACACTGCTGAGTATACAAAAAATGTGAGTGAGCCCAGGTCTTTCTTCCTCTTCGTCCTCTCCTGCTCCCCTCTCCACATTCCGCTTCTCTTCCTCTCTTTCTCCCTTTCTCTTACAACAGCACACAAGCAATAATAACAGTGAACACCCTGAGCAGTTACCATGTGCAAAACAGTGTCCTAAGCTTCATCTTCTTTTGTCCTCATACTTCACCCTATGAAGAAAGGTTATGGATAAAACCCAAGCAACCAGACCTGATCCCACCTGTCTCAGCAGTTACCTCTCCACACTTTCCCTTCCCTTTACAGTTCAGTTTCTTTTTTTTTTTTAATATTTTTATTTGTTTCTAGGAGAGAGAGAGATACAGCGTGAGCAGGGGAGGGTCCGAGAGAGAGGGAGACACAGACTCTGAAACAGGCTCCAGGCTCTGAGCTGGCAGTCAGCACAGAGCCCGACGCGGGGCTCGAAGCCACGAACCGTGAGATCATGACCTAAGCGAAAGTCGGACGCTTAACCGACTATGCCACCCAGGCGCCCCTACAGTTCAGCTTCTTAAAAGAGCTGTCCAGATCAGCACTCTCCATTGGAAATACAATGTGAGCCACAAAGGTGCTGTTGTGCTCATCTAGACACTGACCTGAACCTTGGGCCCTTTCTCCAAGAAACCCCCTTCCCTCTAAGAAGTATTCATGGAGTAAGCTGCACTGATGATGGCTGGTGAGGGGCGGTGAAGGTGGCAGTATGGGCAGAGGAGGACTTTATGCCATATCGATGCAAATATATCTTTATATTCAAACATCAAATACCCAGTATCTTTCTTTTCCTTTCCTTTTCTTTCCTTTCCTTTCCTTTTTTCTTTTCCTTTCCGTTTTTGATTGGATGGGTGTGTACCTTATTGTATGTTCACTTCAAGTATGGTTACCATGTGTCGCATTACATTGCTAGTACAATATCACTGACTGTATTCCTTATGCTGTGCCTTTTATTCCCATGACTTATCATTCCATATCTGGAAGCCTCTATCTCCCACTCCCCGTCACCCATTTTGCCTGATCTTCCATCCCCCTTCCCTCTGGCACCTTCAGTTTGTTCTTTGTATTTCTAGAGCGGATTTTGCTTTTTGTTTATTCCTTTTTTTCTCTTTTAGATTCCACTCATGAGTAGAATTCTATGGTATTTGTCGTTCTCAGTCTGTCTTATTATCACTCGGAAGAATACGCTTTAGGTCCATCCATGTCATCTCATATGACACAATCTCATCCTTTTTTAGGCAGTGTAAAAGTATATATGTATATATACACATACCCCATTTTTCTCAGGCATTCATCTACAGATGGATGCTTAGGTTGCATCCATATATCGGTTATTATAAGTGATGCCGCATGTATATATACTTTTTCCTTTCGGTAAATCCCCAATGGTGGAATTACTGGATCCTATGGTAGTTTTATTTTTAACTTTTTGAGGAAGCTCCATACTGTTTTCCACAGTGGCTGCACCACATAGCATTCCCACCAGCAGTGCATTGCACGAGGGTTCTATAATATGTATTACTATAATTTAACATTTGCATTATTGATGAACATTCATTCTGTTTCCAGATGGTCTGCTATTAACAAGAATTTTGCATTAAACATCTTTAACATATACCTACTAGTTCTTTTGTTTCCAGTGGAGAAAATGGAAAAATGAAAGTAGACTTGTGGATGCTAGCCTATGGCACATTTTACATATCACCAGATACTGACAGTTTGCTTTCTAAAAAGGTACGGCAATCTTGTGAGCATCCTAGTTTGCCTCCCTTGTAGCCCCACTGCATTTTCTCACAGTCTTAGCGTCTAAATTACCCTGACTATTTAAACTAACCTTTTAAAAAACATACAATCATAGCCAAAACGCTTTTGAAAAGATGCTCAACATCACTAATCGTTAGGGACATGCAAATCAAAACAGTATGAGATAACTGCTCACTAACAGATTGTTTCCATTTTCTGAACTGTGAACAGGTCAGCCTTATCCTGCTGCCAGCTGTCATTGTTCGTGCTGTTTGGCATAGATGTCATTTAGCTTTTAACTAGATGTTTGCGTCTCCAAGCTAAGAAGTGTTTCGTGTTTTACTGAATATTTACTTATGTAGACTCGAGAGACGGGGATGCTCTACTCTGGTGAAGAAAGGTAGCAAAATAGGATGGGAAGATTGCAGATGGAACTTTTATATTACACAGTTTAATTATTTAATTCCAATCACATATCTGTCCTGGATGGAGGCCAAGTCTATGGCAGTCATTTATGTAAATGGAGGGGGGAAAAATCTGATACTGTTTAAGATGTATATATCACCGTATATACAGATAAGATGGCTATCTTTTCTTTCCCCTAGGGCTTTATGCAAAGAAAACCTATGTTTGCAGAATGAGGTTTCACAAAGGCAAAGATAAAATGTGCTGTCATTTATTTTGTATTTTAAAATCTTTGCTTGGGTTGTCTTGTGAAATGTCCAAATCAGGAATAATTATAGGTTTTTCTTATACCACCTGCGCCGTGAAACATTTAACACTTTTAGACGGTTCAAAAGACCAGAAAGGAAGAAAACTGGATTCAGTGGTAGACAAAACCGCTGAGATGCAATTAGGATGTAAAAAGTAAAGATAAAGAAAACAAAGGCAAGCAAAACCTAAAACTAAAGAAAAGAGAAAAAGAGAAAGATACTAGGTCTTTGGTTACATTCATTAGGATGACTCCTATCAAAACGCAGAAAATGATGGGTGCTGGCAAGGATGTGGGCACTCTTGGTGGGAACATAAAATGGTACAGCTGCTATGGAAAACAGCATGGCAGTTACTCAAAACATTAAAAATAGAATTACCAAATGATTCAATAATTCCACTTCTGTGTATATATCTAAAAGAATTGAAAGCAGGGTCCTTTAGAGAAAATTTAAAAATTGTTTTATTTTCACTCCAATGTAGTTAACATGAAATGTTATGTAGAACAGAGTGAAATATAACATTGCACATTTTAGATGTACAATACAGTGATTCAGTAATGCAATGCATTACGCATTGCTTCTCAAGAGAAGTGTACTCTTAATCCCCTTTACCTATTTCACCCATCTCCCGTCCACCTCCCTCTGGTAATCAATCAGTTCTCTCTCATTAAGAGTCTGTTTTTTTGCTTTCTCTCTCTTTTTCTCCCCTTTGATCGTTTGTTTTGTTTGTTGACACATAGGAGAGAAATCAACTGGTATTTGTCTTTCTCTGACTGGCTTATTTTGCTTAGCATTATAATCTCTAGACCCATGCTTGTTGATGCAAATGGCAAGGTCTCATTCTTTCTTAAGGCTGAATGACATCCATCAAACACCCTCCCCTGCCCCCGCCCCCCCTCCCTGTGCACTTGCTCGGGCACAGACACACACACACACACACACACACACACACACACACACACACCGCGTCTTCTTTATCCATTCACCTATTGATGGAACCTGGGCTGTTTCCATAATTTGGCTTTTGTAAATAACGCTACAAGAAACATAGAGATGCATATATGCCTTCAAAATAATATTTTTGTATTCTTTGGTGAAATACCCAGTAATGCGATTACTGGATTGTAGGGTAGTTTTTTCTTTAGAGGAACCTTTGTATTGACTTCCACAGTAGCTGCACCAATTTGAATTCCCACCAACTGTACATGAGGCTTCCTTTTCCTCCACATCATCACCAAAACTTGTTTCTTGTGTTTTTGGTTTTAGCCATTCTGACAGGTTGAGGTGATGTCTCATTGTGGTTTTGATTTGCATTTCCCTGCTGATGAATGATGTTGAACATCTTTTCACCTGTCGTTGGCCACCTTTTTGTCTTCTTTGGAGAAATATCAGTTCACATCCTCTGCCCATTTTTTTTTTAACTTGGATTATTTGGGTTTTCTTGGAATTGAGTTGTAGAAGTTCTTTATATAGTTTTAATTTTGATAGGGTCCCAATAGTTTATTTTTGCTTTTGTTTCCTTTGCCCCAGGAGGCATATCTAGAAATATGTCATGGCCGATGTCAGAGAATTACTGCCTGTGCTCTCTTAAGGACTTTTATGGCTTCAAGTCTCACGGGTAGGTCTTTTATCCATTTTGAGTTTATTTTTGTGTGTGGTATAAGAAAGTGGTCTAGTTTCCTTCTTTTGCAAGCTGTTGTCCAGTTTTCCCAGCACCATTTGTCAAAGAGACTGTCTTGTTCCCATTGAATGTTCTTTCCTGCTTTGTAGAAGATTAATTGAGCATAGAGTTGTGGGTTTATTTCTGGTCTTTCTGTTCCATTCCATTCAACTATCGCCGTGTCTCTCTTTTTGTGCCAATAGAATACTGTTTTGGTCACTACAGCATTGTAATATAAGTTGAAGTCTGGAATTGTGATGCCTCCAGCTTTGTTTTTTTTTGTTTTGTTTTGTTTTGTTTTTGTTTTTGTTTTCTCCCAAGATTACTTTGGCTATTTGAGGACTTTGGCTATTGGGCTTTTATGTTTCCATGCAAATTTTAATATGGTTGGTTCCAGTTGTGTGAAAAAATGCTTTTGGTATTTTGATAGGGATTTCATTACATCTGTAGACTGATTTGGGTAATATGAACATTTTACCAATATTTGTTCTTCCAGTCCATGAGCAGGGAAAGTCTTTCCGTTTGTATCATTTTCAATTTCATTCATCATTGTTTTATAGTTTTCAGAGGATAGCTCTTCCACCTGCTTTGTTAAGTTTATTCCTAGGTATTTTATTCTTTTTGGTGCAATTATAAATGGGCTTATTTTCTTAATTGCTCTTTCTGGTGTTGGGTGATCAGTGTACAGAAATGCAACAGATTTCTCTACCTTGATTTTGTATCCTGTGACCTTACCGAATCCATTTATCAGTTCTCTTGGTTTTTTTGGTGGAGTTGAAAACGGGATCTCGAGGAGATCCTTGCGCTCCCATGTTCCTAACAGCCTTCAGTGGCCTAGAAATGGAAGCAAACCAAATGTCCAGCCACAGAGGGCTGAGTGAACAAAATGTGTTAAGACACCTACCATGGGTTATTACTCCGCCTTCAGAAGGAAGGAAATTATGACACATGTGACAACTTGGGTGAACCTTGATGACATCATGCTAAGTAAAATAAGCCAGTCACAATATTGTACGACAAATATTGTATGATTCCACTTCTGTAAGGTATCAGAGTGGTCAAATTCATGGAAAAGTAGAACGGCGGTTGCCAGGCACTAGAGGGAGAGAGAAATGGGGAGTTGTTTAATGAGTATAGAGTTTCAGTTTTGCAAGAGTTTTCAAAGAGTTCTGTAAGTAACTGTTTTTAAATAGTTTCAAAAGGTGGGAGGCAAACCATAAGAGACTCTTCAATGAGGAGAACAAACTGAGGGTTGGTGGGGGGAGGGTGGGGGAGGGGAAAATGGGTGATGGACATTAAGGAGGGCACTTCTTGGGAAGAGCACTGGGTGTTGTATGTAAGCGATGGATTACCGGAATCTACCTCCAAAACGAAAGGCACACTGTTTACACTGTATGTTAGATAACTGGACAATAAATTATGAAAAAGAAAAAGTTCTGGATATTGGTTGCACAACAACGTAAATATACTTAATGCTATGTATGTGTACACCTCAAAGTATTTAAGATGGTCAACTTACGTTACACGGTTTTCATTACAATTAAGAAACACTATGAAAAGGAAAAAAGGTTATGAAAGGAGTATGTAATAGGCCTCATTTGGTCTTTGAGCTCTCATTCTGATATAGGTACTGCTACTTTCTGTATATTATCTTATTTAATCTTTATACTGACCACACAAGAGCTGACTTGTGACATCAGTGCTCCTGAGAGGAAAACGTGGCCATGTTCATTGTAGGAACAGTGAACCAGCAGAATCCATTCCTGATTTGTATCAGAGGGTCCTGACACCTAGTGGCAGTTGCTGCCTGTAGTACAGAGCCAGGCAGAGCAGGCTGGATCAACTGGCACATTTAGAGAAGTCCTTTCTAGACTTGAATGACAATGGAAGGTAAGAGTTTCAGTCTGGCAAGAAATAGACACGTATAAATAATTGGAACCAGGTTTAAGATGATTCACAACAGCAGGGGCTACATGTCTGGAGATGAGTAATAAGAGACACTTCTCATTGGGAATTCTGGGAAATGGTACTTGAGGAGAGATACACTGAAATCACTTCTTTGATGTCATGACCCTCACCAAACCTTTTGTTTTTTAAACCTTCTTCACAATGTTAGATACTTTCTTGACTTCCTTTTCTTTCGCCTAGTCACTTCTGTTTCTTTTCCCCTTTCTAGCCATTCATTTGTATTCCCGTCTACTTTGCCTTGTAACATGCCTTGTAACATGCCTGTAGCAACTCGGGGGCCGATTCCTGACAGCTGAGCGACTGTAATGAAAGGAAAGAAACTGGAAGTAGAGGAAATCCATTCGAGATGATCCTTCAGATTAGTTAAATCAGCCTCAAAGGAAATTAGTGGCTTTAAAGGCTGAATTGGTTAACTGGAAAAAGGTTTCAATCCTGCTAATGTGAACCAGGATTGAAGATGAAAGGTCCTAGACCCGTAAACTGTTTGAGAGCTACAGTGTTTTTAGTGTTTTCCTCAATGTTCCTGCCTTCCCGTGTATATCAAAGAGTGGTGAACAAAATCAGAATGTTTTCTGTGTAATCTACCAGAAGGGAATGGGGCTCCGAGGGTTGGTGCATGCCTTCCCCCGTGTTGTGATTGTGAAGAAAACCAGACTCTGCTGTTGTCTCCAGGGACCTGGCGGACAGGAATGCTGAACGCGAGAAGAGAAAGGTGATTAACCAGAATCTCCAGGCCGATTGGAAAAAGAGCATGGCAGAGAAGAGACAGAGGGAGCAGGAAGAGAAAGCTTTCCAGCGGTAATACCCGATCGGAACCAGAAGTTCTTTGCAGAGAAATCCCCTCCACTCCATGTTTAGTTTCCTGGCATCCTGGGATGGCAGACAGGTTTCCAGGGCCAACGCCCACTGAGCAGTAGTGGCTGCCTAGCGAACCTGGTGGAGAAAAGAATTCTGGGTTCAGGAGGAAATGCTGCGGTGGTGTATTAGAAATGTCTGCTATGGATATGTGATTGGAGAATGCTATGCTGTGTGTTCTTTGCTCGCCATCTTGCCCTAATCTTGGCTGTGTGTAGGGTGGCTTAATTTTCATATTGTGGCTGGTAGGGAAGCATGGGGTGGGGGAGGGTAGGAATTCTCCTGGGAAATAACCAGCTGGAAACACGGGGAGGGAGTTTCCATCGGGACACATCTGAGGCTGACAGAATGGTCATTTAAGAGCAGAGTCAAGGGGTTGCGTGTAAGATTGGCAACTGGGAAAAAGAAATGCCCGTTATGGAACCAGCAAGCACATGTTCCTGAAATGTATTATATCTTTGTTCCCTCTACCCAGCTACCAAGTGACAATCTAGAGTCAGGGAACCTAGTCATGGCTTTGAGAATTCATACTAACTTTGGAAAGGCAGCTCAACTTTTTGTCTTACTTTTCTTTGTAAGATGAGGAAAGGAAACACTTCCTTGACATAGCAAACAGGAGTTTTGTGATCAAATAAAGAGATGGAAAAATATTAACTTTAAAAATTATTTTACAAATGTGTGGTGTGATATGGCAGTATGTGAAAACATAACAGACCAAGCCTATACAGTCACATACTATTAAATCCTGAATATACCAAAATAATACTTTAAATTCCCACATGTCAGCTAATTTTAATCATAGTTAAAATTTGTCATAATAAATTTTGGTCTCGAAATCCATTTCAAGATTTTCTCTTCAGGCATTTCCTACCTGTGTTTCTCATGGGTAGAACACATATTTTGTTACAATGTGAGTAAGAGTGATAATGTGGCAAAGTAGAAGTACGGTTGTTTGGCCAAGAGAAGAGAGCAGGGAACTTGGGTTTCAAACATTTTCTTTCTTTCTTTTTTTTTTTTTTTTTAGTTTATTTTGAAAGAGTG